GAGATGTCGAATTGTGTTTTACTTCTGGAAGGGTATTAATTTTGAAAGATGTACTTTATACTCCTTCCATGAGAAAAAATTTGATGTCTAGTTCCTTACCAAGTTCAAAAATAAATAAATTTGATGTCTAGTTTTCTTCTTAATAAAGCAGGCTTTAAACAGATTATTGAATCTGATCAATATGTAATAGTGAAGAAGGGTATTTTTGTGGGGAAGGGGTATGCTTGTGATGAGATGTTCAAATTGAATGTAGAAGTGAATAAAGCTTCTACTTCTGTTTATATGCTTTCTTCTACTAATTTTTGGCATGCTCGTTTGTGTCATATTAATGATCGTTATGTTGGAATCATGAGTAGTTTAGAATTAATCCCAATGGTTAAAAAGAATTTTGAAAAGTGTGAGGCTTGTAGTAAAGCCAAAATCACTAATAGATATTCTTTTTTGGCCCAAACCTTTGGCATCAGTATGCATACACTTTGATAGTCAAGATGCAATAGGTAGGGCATGAAGCATGATGTATAACAAAAAGTCTCGTCATATAAGACATAGACATAATACCGTTAGAAAAAATTTCTCTAGTAGAATTATCACAATTGACTATGTAAAGTCAAAGAATAATGTATCGAATCCGCTTACAAAAAGGCCTAACTAGAGAGAAAGTTGAAACATCATCTAAGGGAATGGTTTTACGGCTTAGGAAAAGTCATCATGGCGGTAACTCTACCTAGCAGACAGGAGATCCCAAGAGTTAGGTTCAACGAGAAAACAAAGTTGTGACTGACGGTTCGGTATTGTAAACCAACTCAATCCATTCTCATGATGAAGACAATGCTCAGGAACAAGGATACAACATTAAGGCTTGTTAATGAGTTAAGAAAGCTTAAAGTTTTTAATGATTCGCTAAGTTTGGTAGATTTGACCAAATAGTGTATCTACGCAATAACACGGTTAGAAATCACATATGTGAGTGTTAAGTGTAAGCCGCTTCAAAGAGGATGATTGTAAAAAGCTAATCTCTCTATACACTCATGAAACCAGGAGGTGTTCATGACTAAAACGAACACAACCGTAAGAACCATAAACGGTAAAGGGTTGATTGTGTGGCATATGATTGTCTAGGTATACCCCAAAGCTTGACGGTTCAAAGATATCAAATCTACCGATTGACCAAGTATATCCGACATATGTTCACTACGGAAAATTTAAAGAGAAACCTACTTATCCCGATGCAATTAATTCTTGCTTGTAAAGTATACACATTTGTCCGTTTCTTTGTCTTGGAGTCATTCCCTATTCATGCTGGAGATTGTTGGGTTTTAAAAAGTGTGAATGGAAAATGAAGAGTTGTGACTTTTATGAAAAATTGCGACTTTTATGAAAAGTTGTGACTTTTATAAAAGGTTGCCACCTTTTTGAAATACTGTGACTTTTCCGGTTAGGCACAATAAGAACCTTTTTACACTACCCTTTGTTTTCTATAAATTGGGGGATTTCCTCTCATTTTAAGGGAAAAAATTTCTAGACTTATTCTACTACTACTAAATATAGTATTCTAAGTGTACTTTACTGCCGTTGAGTGGTTCGCTGACACCGTGGTTTTAGGTACCGATACACCGGTGAGTAAGATCGTTCTATCTTGGGAGGATATATTCCATTAACCTCGAGTAATTGAGGGGAATAATTTTCTTAAGGGGACACTGTGTATTCAGTGGGCTCGATTTTCTTCTTTGAGAAAAATATTTTGTATATTATTTCTAATCTATTTCTGATTCTATTTTCTCTACTGGTTTTTTTTTTTTTTTTTTTGATTTGCACCGGGTGTCCGAGTCTCTTTGAGCCCCGACTAATCCCGGGGGTGCACAGGCCCTCGGCAAGGAGTTTCCCGCAAGTGCACCACGGTTAATTCAGGTTTTACCCAGTCCGATGGCCCTCAGAATTGTTTGCACCCAGTGGGTTTCGAACTTGAGACCTTGAAAGGGAGCAAACCCCAAGGCTCAAGTCAATTGCCAGCAGGCCAACCCCTGAGGGTTTTTTCTCTACTGGTTTTAATTTTCTAGTTTTGAAAATACTCTTTAAACTTTGTTGTTTCTTATCAAGTTCTTCAAAGTTTTGTTCTAAGTATATTAGGAATACAAGATGAACAACACTAACAACTTAATAAGTGCCCATTTAGTCATGTATAATTTACACTTTTGTGGAATTTTATCCTAGAAACTGTTTGGACATAAAATTGTCACAATTTTCTAGAATTCAAGAAACTCCAAAAGGTTGTTTTCACAATTTTTACTCTAAATCACTCACAACAATTACATGCCCAAAGAAACCCCACAAAGTGGGGTCTTGGAGGGTAGAGTGTACAATGACCTTACCCTATCTCGTAGAGGTAGAAAAGTTGTTTTCGAAAGATCCTCACCTCAAATAAAGAAAAATAAAGTAGTAACGAAAAAGAAAAATGTCAGCGAAAAAACATGACAACTAATAGGAAAGGAATGCAGAGCATACATGCAAGGAACAATAACATCAATAAAAAATAATGCAATCACCTAAACGTAGTAACTTAGCACCCTCCCAATTTTTACTTTCCCGAAAAGTCGTTACTATTTCTGGCCAACTAATCAAAATTAGGAACTTCTTTGTCATTTTAACTAGAAATCCCCCAAATCCATTTCCCTCTTTCCCGCGTCACCCAAATACATACATTATAATAACAGTAAGAGAGAAAGTAATTAAGAGAACATAAGGGATGGTGAATGCTTACCATACAAGTCTGAGTGGATTAATCTGTAGAGAAGCCTAACACCACTGCGGCCAATATAAGGAGCAGATTGTTTAGTGATACTCAAGAAGTAAGCAAACACATCCACAGAAACGTATCCATACTCAGCTGCATAATGGATTGGATATAGACCACCGAAACAAGCAATATGTGGTAAACAAGAATTCCTCGATACAAGGATTTTAGCTGCATCTAAGTTTCCAAATCTAGCAGCATAGTGAAGAGGAGTATCACCAAGGCTATCTTGTATGGCTATATCTTCATCATTTTCAATAGTCGCCACCAACTTCTCCACGAAATGCTTACCTTTTTTACCCTTTACCCCAACTGCTACATGAAGTGCTGTCTGTAAAAGAGAGTTGATTTGAGCTCTACTTGCTTCTTTCTCTCGGCTCAAGAATTCTTCTGCTTCCTTCCAATCTCCACTTAGTGAAGCTCTGTATAGTTGCAAGTAATAGCTAAAATCTTTCTTTGATTCAATGCTTTCAGCACGCTCGATGTTGCTATCATCTGTACAATGACAAACCAAGAGCTAGCTACCATTTTACTAAATATGAATTTAAGTTCTATCGCATCATGGAGTAAAAAAGTATGACATATAAGGTAAGTACATGTAAGTATCAAAGATATTAGACTCTGATAAAAATAATAACTAATCAGGTATAATAAGTTAAACTATGTTATCTTTATACAATCAGTATATACTACTTAAATCCTTAATATCAAGCTTTTCCCAATTAGGATAGTCAATAAACATTTTATAACATTCTTGTTGCATACAAACATAGCCCCCTAAATTTGTCCAGATTTTTCATTTAGATATCTGAACTAAAGTTTGTACTTATCGAACACCTAATATTAGCTAATGATGTACCAATTAGACACAAACCACTGATGTTGCATGGATCACTCCTCTTTCTTCTCCTTCAACCTCCCGGTGTCAAAGCTCACCAAATTGTACCCGGAAATGGCTAAGAATTATATAGTTATAAGATTGCACACACAACAGTGGCTTTCTATGTAGGACCCGTTTGTTCATACGTATTGCAAGTAATTTTCAACAAAATTTGTTTGGTCATAAAACTTGTAAGTTTTGACAAAAAATTCGAGATACCAAAATCTTAAAAAAGAAAAAAAAAAGTGGCTTTTGGGTCAAAATCTTGTAACTTTTATACTTTATAAGAGAAAAGTTTATTAATTATGATTACAACTACTTTCTCTTCTCTGTTCAACAATAGTTGTCTACCGTACTATTTTAGAATGTCCAACAATACTTTTACACTTGGTTTCTAATTTATCCATATCATTAGTTATAGTCATTTTCCTAGTATATTTTTCAAGACATTGTATTCATTATATTCAAAGAATGATATAGTAAAATTATTTTTCTATTTACAGTTTCTTAAGAAGTGTGCAAAGTCAATAGTGGACAAGTATTGTTTGACAGATAGAGTATAATTCAGTCTACCTAATCCCTCGTTAAATGCATTCTTATTAAAGAGATTGTTTCTAGATTATGTAAAGATTATATTAAAAAAATAGTTAATTACTATTGTTGTTATTCTGGAAAATACATAAATTCTCATTTAAGCTTATTCTAAAAATTCAATTACACGCTTAAATTATTATGAAAATCTATTACAATTTTTTACTATAAGGTGTTAAAAATGTGTGGGATCACCTTCAGTGTTATCATACGTGTCGTTCACAAGTTGTTTGCTTGTAGATAAAAGAAAAGGTATGGAAGTGTGGGACCTATATAATACATCAATTTAGTTCCAAAAAATGAAGAAAATGCTAATTAGGATGCTTACGTGCCAAATTTTAGATGTAACACACTTTGATTTGTCATGTCATCACTCATCATGATAGGTTTACAAGACACATTTGTATTAAAGCAGAAAACGTTAAGGTCTCGTTAGTTTGGGGAATAAATGATAATTAATTTTAAAATATATTTTAAAATAAAGTTATTTATAGTTGGTTAAAATAATATCACAAAATAATTTATTCTTGTCTTAAAATAATTACTTGTTCTCCGTCCAAAATATCTAACTTACGAAACATATCAAATTTAGTAATTTCTTTGTTTTTATTTTTATGTCATTGTGAAATTAAGTCTTGAACCTAATTCACACTTCAAAAGTTAGCTTAAAGGAAAGAAGATTGTTCAAGTCTTATAAGGAATACACCTATTTCATTAACCACAAATGTGAAACTTTTGTCGTTCTTTAACAATCGTCTTACTAAAAATAAATGTTCCTTAAAATTTGTCATTTCACAAAATCAATACATAAATATAACTATTCTTCCTATTCTACCCTCGAGAGCTACTAACTTTGAAAGTATGAATTTGACCAACATAAAAAAAAAGTAAGTAATACTCTCTTTGTCCTAATTTATGTGACTTACTTTTCTTTTTAGTCCGTCTAAAAAAGAATGACACGTTTCTATATTGAGTAAAAATTTAATTATAAAATTCTATTTTATACTTAATGAAATTATTTATAGTCATACAAATTTTTGTCATTCATTTTGAATTACAAGTTTTAAAAGTCTTCTTTTCTTTCTTAAACTTCGTGTCGAATCAAAGTACCTCACATAAAATGAGACGGATGGAGTATAAATTGGGAAAGAGTGAGTAACAATTTAATTGGTGAATTTTAGAAAAAAAAAACAAGTATGAAATCAATGCTTCCATTATGTTTTTACTCCTATTACCTTTTTAAAATCTGGTCATTTAGGGTCTGTTTAATCAAATTTCAAAGAAGAATTTCTCTTCTTTTTTTTGTTTTTTTTACCCTCTCAAGAGCTCCCACCCCTTTTTGCTCTGTTGGTGACTTGAACTTGCAATCTTTAGGTTGAAAGTGAGGGGTGCTTACCATCCGAACAACTCCCTCTCGTCAAGAAGAATTTCTCTTTCTTCGAGGCTTCCAGATTATTTTCTGTAATACTCCATTAGTCTTATTTTATGTGAGGTAATTTGACTCAGTACAGAATTTAAGAAAAAAATGAAAAATTTTAAAATTTATGGTTCAAAATGAAGAATATAAATTTGTGTGACTATAAATCATAAAATAGATATTTTATAGTTAAATTATTATTTAATATAAAAATATGTCTCTCTTTTTGAACGGATTAAAAATAAAAGTACAAATACTATGGTAGATTAGGGGAAGTTTCAATTACAAAATTTTACAGTAGTAGAAGAATGGAGATTTCGTACCTTGAGATTTAGGGCTGTAAAGTTGCTCTAAAACCAACCAAACCTCTCTAGCCGAATCTAATTTATGAACCGCTTTATCCTGAAGAAGTTGATCACTAAGAGAACCGAAGATCCATCCTTTAACAAACCCATCATTCCTTTTCCTTTGCAATTTATCTTCCTCATTTCCCATTTCTTCCCCTTTTTCTTCATTTTCCTCTTCTTCGGGCTCATCGTCATCGCCAGGAGCAATGGTCTGTAGAGAAAATTGGATTGTTCCATCAACGAATCCAAATAAATCATGACTTTGAAGGAGACAAATAATCTGGGTTTTCCATGGAATGTAGTTGGATTCACCACATAGCTTGATGGATACAAAATTTGCTACATTAACCATTGATAAGTGGATCTGGGGATTTGAGCTTGGGAACGCCATTGTTGTCTTTGCTATCAGATTGCTTGATGGATACAAAGTCTTTTACAGTCAACCGGGTTATTGGTGGGAACTTAAAGGAGACTATCGGACTTGAACATTGCTATTAGTAGGGCAAAAGTATCCTTACTTTATCGGATCAAAGTTGAGAGAAAAAAAACACACAGTTGGTAAGACATAAATTTCTGATATTTTTTAAAAATCAGATTTCGTAAGAAGTTTGGGGTGAAAGTTTAAATTACCTGAGTCGCGCGCACTCTTTACTTTTGATGTCATATCGTTATAGCATTTCTCAAAAATATACTCCCTCCGTCCAATAATAATTGTACAATATATTATTTTAGAATATCCAACAATATTTATCTATTTTATAAAATTAATGGATAATTATACACTTAGTTCTTAATTTACCCTTATTATTAATTATACTCATTTTCTTATTACATTTTTTAAGACATTATTCATAGGGTAATATGGTAAAGTTACCTTTCTATTTATAGTTTTTTAAGAAGTGTGCAAAGTCAACAATAGACAAGCACAGACTATTACAATTTGTTGAGACAATTCATTTTATGAAAAAAAAAACAATAATTGTAATTATAGCTATTTTTTAATGTAATCTTTTCGTAGACAATAAAATTCGCGTTGAGAAAACAATAATCAAGAACGGAAAATTATGCAATAATCGTTTTATTATTTCAAAATGCGAGTGTTACAATCTCTATGATTCTTCTAAATTCACCTTTTCGAATATAAATTCAAGGGCTTTTGAGCTTAATTTTGAACTTGGGATTTATCTTAATCTTGATCTTTATCTTGAACTTGAACTTGGACTTGATCTTGAACTTGATGTTGAACTTTATCTTGATCTTGAACTTGAACTTTATCTTGATCTTGACTTTTAGTTGAATCCAAGGGCTTCGAGCTTGATCTTGAATCTGGCGGTCTTGATCTTGATCGTTCTTGAAACTTGAATGCTTGAATTCTTGAACTCTTGAATTTGTACAGAAATCTGCGGCTTTTGATCCACAAGCTTTCTCTAGCTTCTTGTTAAAATTCTTGGTTCTTTTTTTTGAATTATGAGGACCCCTATTTATAGTTTTAGAATAGATGAGTTGTGATAGGAATATGATTCCCTTCGGCCAATCAGATTTAAGTAACATGGCATATGAGCTTTATGGAGCGGACTTGTCATCTTTGACACATGTCATGATCCTATTGGCTTCTTGTTTGACTTGGCATGCCACGTCATTTGCCACGTGACACTAAAAAATGGGACTCTAGGATGAGATGAAATTGGGCTTAGCAAACCGGGCTTATTGTAGCTCAAATCAATTAATTTGGACTTTAATTAAATCCATATTTATTAAACTCAAATAATTAACCCAATTATATTAATCCATAATATTTATTTGGACTAATATATTTCCGAATTTAATATAATTCGAATCATTTTATAAATTTATATTTAATAAATTTTAAATGATTACAAATGCCCCCTGCTTCAAGTCTTGTCGAGATGTTTTATCTTTCGAAGATTAGACTTGAAGTATTAATTAAATAATAATTTATTTATCATGCTCATGCAATGTTTAATTTATTGTCCGACTCCAATACATGTAATTGGAGTGGGCACGTGAGTCTACCACTTTCAAACATATATTTGGCCAATTAGAATCATCATAGGAGGCAAATAAATGTTTGTTAAAAAGCAATAGAAAACCAATTCGACTAGGACAGCATTTCCGTCAATTACTTTAGCATAGCCAAAAAGAAATTGCTATTAGTCTAGGTGAGGGATTTTATGATGCCATTTAAGTTCAAAATGTAGTTGAACTAGGAGTTGTAGTATCACTCAATTTCAAATTCATTTCCTTTTCTATTGTCCTAGCCAAAAAAGAATTGTAATTGAACTAGGAGAGGGATTTTATTCCAACCACATGACATCTATAAATAGACACATTGTATCCACAATTTTGTCTTCAATTACAGATTGTGAGCCACGAGCCTATGACGAAAGGGGCATAATTCAAGGTAGTCTTCCTTCCTTTTTCTGATTTTCGTCACTTTTTAACAGCTTGACACGTCTGTCGTAGAAAATTCATATCTCATTGTAGAAAATTCGAAATCATGAACGGTTTGATTTTCCAGAAACTAGACTTCTTGATATCTAACATATCCCAAATTCAGAATTTAATACCTTCAAAATCTTTTTAGATGATATTTTGAAGTTAGCTCTAGATTCTGTCATGCTGAAAGTTTCAGAGTTGTGTGACTTTACTAAACCTCTTGTGTCTTGATGTAGGAACAACGAAATCACAAGCCGCTTGATTATTTCGAATCTAGACACAAAGGTATACAACATATCCGAAATTCAAGATTTAATACTTTCTGAATCTTTCTAGATGATTTGTTGATGTTAACTTTAAATTCTGTCATGTAGCTGATTTCAGATTTTTGTTGCCTCACAAAATATTTTATATCTCAATGTTAGAACATCGTCGTCAAAAAGGGTTGTGATAGCTTGAAATTATACTTCAGAGGCTTCGTTATCACCAAGAAAATATTGTCTCAAGTCTAACCTAGTTAGCTTAGCATGACTTTCAAGTCTCAAACTCTTGACAGGTAACAATTTCTCCTCTACTTGTGTTTTCTTTGTGTTGTTTTCCACCCTTTTTTGTAGGTAGGCTTCAAAGGATGATCCGTGGAGAAGGTAGTCTTATGACACAAAGGGATGAGTATTCATCCCCGTCTTAAGAAGGGTAACTTTATGGTATTCTTAAGGCAAAAAGAGGATGGATACGTTTCCCGCCCTAAGAAAGGTAATTTATGGTATTCTTAAGGCGAAAGCGGATAGATACACATCCCTGCCCTAAGAAAGGTAACTTTATGGTATTCTTAAGGCGAAAGCAGAGAGATATACATTCCCGCCCTAAGAAAGGTAATTTATGGTATTCTTAAGGCGAAAGCGGATAGATACACATCCCTGCCCTAAGAAAGGTAACTTTATGGTATTCTTAAGGCGAAAGCAGAGAGATATACATTCCCGCCCTAAGAAAGGTAATTTATGGTATTCTTAAGGCGAAAGCGGATAGATACACATCCCTGCCCTAAGAAAGGTAACTTTATGGTATTCTTAAGGCGAAAGCAGAGAGATATACATTCCCGCCCTAAGAAAGGTAATTTATGGTATTCTTAAGGCGAAAGCGGATAGATACACATCCCTGCCCTAAGAAAGGTAACTTTATGGTATTCTTAAGGCGAAAGAGGATAGATACACATCCCTTCCCTAAGAAAGGCAATTTATGGTATTCTTAAGGCGAAAAGAGGATAGATACACATCTCCACCCTAAGAAAGGTAACTTTTATGGTATTTTTAAGGCGAAAGCGGATAGATACACATCCCTGCCCTAAGAAAGGTAACTTTATGGTATTCTTAAGGCGAAAGCAGAGAGATATACATTCCCGCCCTAAGAAAGGTAATTTATGGTATTCTTAAGGCAAAAGCGGATAGATACCCATCCCCGCCCTAAGAAAGGTAATTTATGGTAATCTTAAGGCGAAAGCGGATAGATACACATCCCCGCCCTAAAAAAGGTAATTTATGGTATTTTTAAGGCGAAAGAGGATAGATACACATCCCCGTCCTAAGAAAGGTAATTTATGGTATTCTTAAGGCGAAAGCGGATAGATACATATCTCCGCCCTAAGAAAGGTAAATTTATGGTATTCTTAAGGCGAAAACGGATAGATACACATCCCCGTCCTAAGAAAGGTAATTTATGGTATTCTTAAGGCGAAAGCGGATAGATACATATCTCCGCCCTAAGAAAGGTAAATTTATGGTATTCTTAAGGCGAAAACGGATAGATACACATCCCCGTCCTAAGAAAGGTAATTTATGGTATTCTTAAGGCGAAAGCGGATAGATACATATCTCCGCCCTAAGAAAGGTAAATTTATGGTATTCTTAAGGCGAAAACGGATAGATACACATCCCCGTCCTAAGAAAGGTAATTTATGGTATTCTTAAGGCAAAAGCGGATAGATACCCATCCCCGCCCTAAGAAAGGTAACTTTATGGTATTCTTAAGGCCAGAAGAGGATGGATACACATCCCCGCCTTAAGAAAGATAACGTTATGGTATCCTTAAGGTGAAAAGAAGATGAATACGCATCCCCACCTTAAGGAAAGGTAACTTTATGGTCAAGACTTGAAAATTTCAACTTTCAGACTTGAATAATTTGAAGGCTTCAACTTACAATCTTGATTGATTTGAAGACTTCAACTTTGAAACTTGATTGATTTGAGACTTCATCTTGTAGACTTGAGGAATTTGAAGACTTCAACTTGAAAATTTAATTGATTTGAGACTTTAACTTACAGACTTGAAGACTTCAACTTGCAGACTTAAAGAATTTGAAGACCTCAACTTGCAGACTTCAAGAATTTGAAGACTTCGGCTTGCAAACTTGATTGATTTGATTTGAAGACCTCAACTTCTAGACTTGGTAGATTTTTTTTTAATTTTGAAGACTTCAACTTGCAGACTTGAAGAATTTGAAGACTTTAGCTCGCAAACTTGATTGATTTAAAGACCTCAACTTCTAGACTTGTAGATTTTTTTTAAAATTTTGAAGACTTCAACTTACAGACTTGAAGAATTTGAAGACTTCAGTTTGTATACTAGGCTGGATTTAAAGAAACTTCAAGCATGTTGTCAAAGAAACTCATATTTTATAAGGGTTTGCCCCCATCTATTGACCAATCAATACTTCGTACAAGTCTAAAGTTTGATAAGACAAAAGATAAAACAAAATACTTATCGCTTTGACTATCATGTGACAGATCGAGTGGGAATATGTGGGTTTTTGACACTCATGCAACAAAACTTAGGATATATTTTAAGCGCCTAAGTACCTCAATGAAGAGGATCAAGTCACAACGTAGTTCTGGGGGAGTGAGTGATTTTTTGTTGTTGTGCCATACACAGTTTATACTCTTGCGGGCCAGGAGTGACATGCAGTTTAGGATCATACCTTAAAGAGTATTATTTTACTTCAAGGGTAGTACCTCTTTAGGAATTTTGCATTAATAGGACCGATCCTTACGCCATCTGCATCAACAAGCTTGTAAGCACTATGTGAATATGCTTCTTGTACGACATATGGTCCATCCCAC